CAAATTAAAATAAGGACTGTAACAGGATCTATGATAAGGCAACCAGAATGATTGGATAGAAAAGAAATATTATATTGATGTGATTATTATTTTTAGGAATATTGGGAAAAATTATATATTTAAATTATCTATCAAAACAATAAGAATTGTATTAACTCAATGTTTGCAAAAGAGAATATTTTGAGAAAAGAGGAAATCAACTAAAACCATTATGTGGATTATGGATTATAGAAATCAATTGTTAATGATTGTTTTACAAATGTAACCCAACATGCTGTTCACCAATGATTGTGATTTATGTTTTAAAAAAATCAATAAAATATATTACAAAAAAAAAGTTTTTGGGATAAGAAGCGAAAAGTTTTCAAGGAAAAAATCAAGAAAGTACAATTGCCTTTTGGAAAAACACCATTGGGATAGGATACCCATAAATTTTCAATTTTTTTAACTTTTTAACTTGTATTATGTACTACGAAGGAAAATATAACACATTGTCTATATGTACTGTTACATAAAATATACATGATCAATTTTAAGTCAGGCTACAACAGCCCTGCTTCAACTTTTAGTTTCTAATTGTATGGAAGAGACTGGATTTCAAATAGGTAGACAGTCAAAACCTGCTCTAGAATTGAGATTATATTGTCCTTCTGTAACACCCTGCATTTATCTACAGTTGTTTGTATTATTTATAGTTCATTGTTCTATAAGACCTTTTACGTTTATCATGTGCTGTAGTCACTGTTGGTTGGAAGAAGACTCAATATTCTGTGTTCTCTATCACTCTCAGCTAGGCATGCTAATTTATATGCGTCAGAACTTTGAGGACTAGGAAACCCAGTTCCATGTAGATTGGTTCTATTTTATTGTAAAGCTATAGTACCATAATAGAATCTTGCAAGTCTAAATCTATTTCCCCTTCCCTCCCTTCGTCATGTGAACTAGGGACGAGCCTGTCTGAAATATTTACTCATTATTTTCTCAACCCTGGCTGATGCCCTCCTATCTGCCTGTTGCCCCATAGCACCTCTTCCTCCTATTCTTCAGGTCCATTCCGTGTGCCTTCTACAGCATATCTGCCTATGTCAGGGGTAGGCAACCTTGGCTCTTTTATGACTCGTGGACTTCAACTCCCAGAATTCCTGAGCCAGCATAGCTGGGAGTTGAAGTCCATGAGTCATAAAAGCCAAGGTTGCCTAGCCCTGGCCTATGTGATAGACAAGGTCATTTGCTTAAGCTCGCTCCCTTTGGATCTCTGAACAGTGGCAGTGGAATAACTGACTTTGCTTTTCCATTATAAATATGAGGTTGGCTCCATGTTTTTAGAAAAATAAAGGTCTACAGCGAAGAAAATACTTTAAATGCCTATGCATGTCCTTTATGAATTTGATGCAAAAAAAAACCCATACACTTATTCTGTGATTCTGTTCAAGGGTTTTGGTTTCCAAGTTTGAAATTTTAAGTATCCCCATAAGAATATTGCATCTGTCATTGTTAGATGCTTAGGCCAAAAAAAAATAGATCCATTTTTCTCACAGTTTTGACAGACACATTTAAGTATGAATTATGCAGTAGTGCTTGGCTGTGGACTTGTTGGAAATGTAAATATAACTTACCTCCTATGTGTATTCTTGTCTGTCACAAATAAAATCAGGAGCTTCACTATAGCATTCTTTTCTCTTGAAACTCAAGGTGGAAAATCTATTGCAGTAGAATGCACGGAAGGTAATGTTAATCAAATACCGTACAGCTTTCTGATAAAACCTAAATACTGACAATTTTGGTGATTCTGGGATCTGTAGCTAAATGGAATGTTGTGCTGTATTAGTCTATGAATGACAATATAATATAATATCATATACGTGCACGAGCTTTTCGTTTCTTCCTTACATCTACTAATTATACAAAGCCAGTCCTTTGCCACTAACTTTGTAAGCATTTAAAAAACAATAATTAAACATTGTTTTCTTTCTATTTTTAATTTTAATTTTTGGTTAATTGATAAATCACTTTTCATATATTTATCTAACCTGTATGCTCATTTTCCTTTGTTCCTTTCAGAGGAAGTAAATAACCTTGCAAGACCTGGTAAGTATATTATACAGGATAATATATAAAACATAGAAGGATAATATATAAAAACTGCAGATCTTTGCTCATATATGTTCATGTACTGTATATTATACTGGATAACATATATAAAATCTTTAGGATCTTTGCTCATTAATAGAAATGTGCTTAATACTGTTATTGATAGTACTCATTATTT